ACATTATAGACTCATTTAATTTTTAAAAGCAGTGAATACGTAGAGGAACTGGCCCTAAAGTGTTCCACATATTATTCTGTCACATATCTGTACCAGTTGGCGTCACGTGATTCTGCGTCATAGGTCAGAGTGGCATACCAAAAAGGAAAAATGGCGGCGTCGATGAAGAAGTCTTTCGAGGTCTTCGTGTCTAAAGTACCGTGGACTGTAGCCAGCAGTAAGTGAATTCAATTGTTCATATTATCACACATATATATATATATATATATATATATAGTGTCAGCAAGGTATTCTCCGGTAGCCACTCACTTCCTTCTGTACATCGTTAATGTAAGGCGTTATGTCTGTTCTGTTACCCCCACTGACACACGGTCACCGCTGAGCTACCGGACAGCCTCTGCGTGTGAAGACATGGTGGAACCTGATAAATGGGATTAAAAGAGCAATTTAGCAGAGAGAGATTCAGTTGCCAGTTTATCCATATTAAAGCACTTAAATCAAAAACGCACGGCGTTGTATTGGTAGGTGTAGTTTTAGCTTGGTATACCTAATAAACTGTAAACTTAGTGTCTACATAAGCCAGTGGTTGGTTCCCAGCCTTTTTCCATAAGGGACCCGTTTTATCATTGAAACATTGAATTGAATTGCAGTAACAGTACAGAACAACTGGTAGTTTGTGTAAAATGAGTGACTGGATTAATTTAGTGAATTTTGCAGATGATAGGCGTATGTCTGTTCCCTTGTATCCCCTGGTCCTTTGACTTCATACGCGGTGGGGGTAAATAAAAGGAAACGAGACACACCAGTGTACAAGTGTAAATGCTCAGAACGGCGTAGGCTTGACATAGAACCAGAGTCCAACTATAAACCAGCCTTTACTCGGTGCTACTGGCCACAGCATTGTAAATCACAGCGCACTCTGCTGGTTAAACTTTGCAGTGACACCAATATATTACCAAAAGCCCTTCTTTCTGCCCTGTGTTCCAGGAACAAAACAGTTTTCATATTGGTGAAGATACAGATATTTCTGTGATAGGGCTGTCATTCTTGTGGAGTCAAAAGTTGGAGTGGAACTCAAGGTCTGTTTGAGGACTAAATGTTGCTGTTTGTTTTTCAGAGCAGATGAGGGAGTACTTTGGACAGTTTGGCACAGTGAAGTTTTGTCGTCTACCATTTGTAAGTTGTCACAGCATTACAATGACTCATTCTACAGTTTATACATTTCCCTATCTATCTATCTATCTATCTATCTATCACAAAAAGTTAGGGATATTTCACTTTCGGGTGAAATTTATGGAAAATGTAAAAAGTTGATGCTACAGCTATTAAATCATGAAAGTAGGGCATTTAAGTAGAAGGTCAAATTAAGATCACCTGGAAAGGTTATAGTGCATTTTATGTACATTCTGAAATTTCATCCGAAAGCCAAATATCCCTAACTTTTTGTGAGTAGTGTATATGCACCAAAGTTATTATAGTTAACTAGAACTAAACTAAGACTGTGAACATTTTAGTTCATTGAAATACAAACTGAAACAATCAACAACCACATATGGTTTTATTGTTGCCAAACCTGCAAGCTGTGTCTGGATCTGCTTCTGTGTGACTGTGTGACTGTGTGACTGTGCGCTGTGTGTTACACCAGGACAAAGACACCGGCTTCCACAAAGGATTTGGCTGGGTCGCATTCCAATCAGAGGAAGAAATGAACAACGTGCTTCAGAAAGACACACACATGCTGGAGGGAGCCAAGGTAAAAGGAAAACCATCTCCATCACCAAGCGAGGTCTTGTGGGTATTGGAGTCTTTATTAACATAACACAGCAGCTTAGATTGCTGTAGTTTGTTTAAAACAGAACCATAAAGCCATAACCAGGATCTGACCATTTACCACATAGTAAATGTGCTCATCAGTTTCATTGTCTCATTGTTATTTCAGGGATGCACAATAATTATAGGGGCAAATAAATAATCGGTCGATAATGGGGAAATTTATATTATGAATTATCTGGGTAATTAAATTACAGCCAATTACTTATTGATTCATAATTTCTTTTTCATTATGCAAAACATTTGATAGCCTTTATGTTCTATAAAAGCCAACGTATGTCTAAAAATGTTGATGAAAAAATAAATGACTGAAGAGTCCGAACTGTTTATGTAAACAACAGTGATATCGATTAGATTTGGATTAACGGAGCTATGAATATTAAAGCATCCATCTTTGCTCACTTCATCTCAGCCTTTCTTACCATCAGGTGTGTAAAAATGCAGGTTATTAATTTCTTTTTATAATACAAAAAATAGTAATTATCTGTCAGCCATGAGAAGCAGGTAATTATGGATTATTGGATTGGCTGAAAAAAAATCCATGTTGTGCATCTCTACTGAAGAGTTGAATTTTTATGAACACATCTTTTACTGATATTTGTCTTTTTCTGCAATGTGTATTTATTGCCCCTTCCTATTGTATAGTTAACCTCTTTTCATGTCCACTATCCCCCTTTTCTATTTTTCATGTATTGTATTCATTTTATTACTCTCTTTTTTAATAGCAAAAAATAGCATTATTGCTATCATTATTCAGTGTCCACAACTGTCAAATAAATGCACTCATATGCCAAATTCTGCAGATTCAGTTAACGTTAACATATTAGCAGATTGAAAGATGAATAAAATGCATGCTTAAACATGTTTTTCCCCCTAGCCCTCAAAATTACACGAGGCACAACCTAAATACATTGATATTCTCTATGTATTATTTCCTGATCTTTTCCCTTGTTTGTTTTCAGCTCACTGTTGTCACAAACAAACGTCCGCTTTGGCAGAAGAACGACAAAAACGATGACTATAACTGAAGGCTGGCTGCGATGGACAGACGTGCTGTAGTTATTCTCAGGCACCGTTTCACTAAGACTGCATTTTTGTTCTTGCTTTCTCAGCTGCTTGAAATTGAAATTCTTTTGAGGACCATAAGAAACCTTTGAGCGGTACACATGAGTTGGTGTATCTATTTCCATTCTAAAGTCTCTGTAAGACCCCAGAGTGTTCTTCCTTTTGGACACCTTCAGTGAATTTGTGCCTGAGAGTTATTGTCATTGTTGTACTGATTTGTCTAGTAGTAATGTCTTTATTTATTGGCACCGGTAGTGTTATACTTCCTGTAACACCATCTCCAGCACATAGTAATGACCACTTGTATGGTTTGTGAAACATCACTGGTTTGCAGTTCATGGCAATAAAAACAGTGTTTAATTCCATTGTGCGTTGTGTTGTTGAACGCTTTTATATGTAATGTCATTTTATCTTGTGGTTTTAATACTTTTACTTGAGTAAAAGATCTGAGTAGTGACGGAATGTAATGAAGTGTACAAATTCTTGGTATTTGTTCTTTACTTGAGTATTTCTAGTACATCTCAGAGGCAAGTATAATACTTTTTAATCAACTACATTTGTCTGACAGTTACTGGGTACTTTCGGTTTATAATTTTTCAAACAGTTCCTGTCCAGTAACCTTAACCCTCTTGGATTAGTTGGAAAATGCATGGTCACAAGTAAGCGACAGTAACCCTCGGGTACCGGGGGCAATAAACTCCTGCTGGTTACCTTGCACATATTGAAACCAAACTGAAATCCAAAGTCAAGCTGTCAGTTTTAGCATTTTTCTCAGGTTCTCTGATGATGCCCACTGGGTTAGCTGTTAAGGTGATGGTTCAGCCTCAGTATCTTCATATATGAAATACAACTCTGCAAAAAAAAATTAAGAGAGCACTGCAAACCAGTTTCTCTGGTTTTACTATTTATAGGTATTTGTTTGAGTAAAATGAACTTTTTGTTTTATTCTATAAACTGACAAGATTTCTCCCAAATAAAAATATTGTCATTTAGAGAATTTATTTGCAGAAAATGACAACTGGTCAAAACAACAAGATGTAGTGTTTTCAAACGTCAAATAATGCAAAGAAAACAAATTCATAATAATTTCTAAACACAATACTAATGATTTAACTTTAGAGTCCATGGTATCAGAATCAATATGTGGTGGAATAACCCTGAGTTTCAATCACAGCTTTTATGCATCTTGACTTGCTCTCCACCAGTCTTTCACATTGCTGTTGGGGGACTTTATGCCATTCCTGGTGCAAAAATTCAAGCAGCTCGCTTTGTTTGATGCCTTGTGATCATCCATCTTCCTCTTGATCACATTCCAGAGGTTTTCAATGGGGTTCAGGTCTGGAGATTGAGCTGACCATGACAGGGTCTTGATCTGGCGGTTCTTCATCCACACCTTGATTGACCTGGCTGTGTGGCATGGAGCATTGTCCCGCTGGAAAAAACAATCCTCAGTGTTGGGGAACATTGTCAGAGCAGAAGGAGGCAAGTTTTTTTCCACTTTAACCTTGTACCTGGCTTCATTCATGAGTCCTTCACAAAGACTGCCCGATTCCAGCCTTGCTGAAGCACCCCGAGATCATCACCGATCCTCCACCAAATTTTCACAGAAATTATCATAGAAGTTAAACCCTGTAAAAAAAAAAAAAAATGTCTGTCGATTTTATGGTGAAAAACTGTCAAATCATGACAGTAAAAGACTGTAAACTCTAAATAGGTTAACTGCAGTTTGTGTAAGGGTAAAACACTGTCATATCTTATGGCAAAACTATTATTTCTACAGCACTGTAAAGTAGTTTTTTATATCACAGACTGTAGATTGCACAGAAATCACCATACAATTGTATTTATACGGTGAAATATGGAATAAAACTACAACAGTAATGTCCTTTTACCATAATAGTATCGTTTTTATTACAGTAAAGTTTTGTTTTTTTACAGTGTCCATGACATTGGCAAGCATCCGATTGGCATGTCATGAATGAAGCACGGTTGACGTACAGGATGTGGGCGGGGCTAGAAGGCCAACCCGGCCTTCCCGTTGGCCTATAGTTGACCAGTCTATGACGCGTGTCAACAACGTCATTGTGTTGGCCGGAGGTGTAGTTTCAATGTACCATAAACGGCGACAATGAAGGCTCATATACGTGCCATATTAACACACACTCCCGGACATTATTGATGGGCAGCATAAAGGCAACCTCTCTCTGTATCAGAGTACCGTACGAGTGTGGGAGCAACTTGAAATGTAAAATGCCTTCATCTCCTGTAGCACTACGTTAACCAGAATTCTCTGCGCTCACGTGGTGGCCCCTTCCGACTAAGGTCAAAACAAAACCGGTAACTGAAAGACAGACAACGCGTGTGGACACACTGGTAAGACAGCTAGTTGTTGTATAAAGTGTAGTTTGTGACAGTTGACGGTTCAGTGTGTGTGTGTGTGTGTGTGTGTGTGTGTGTGTGTGTGTGTGTGTGTGTGTGTGTGTGTGTGTGTGTGTGTGTGTGTGTGTGTGGCAGTGTGACTGAACACACTCGTTACAAAACGCAGCCAGTCTTTGCGTAACACACAAGTGGTGTTTAGGTAACAGTTAAACGCGCTGTTTTACTAATGAGCTTCAACGTAAACAGCACTAAACCCCTCTCTCCTTCCCCGCAGTCCACATTCACTTTTGGGGAACACGGTTGTGGGAGTGACAGGAGAACTTGCTTTGAGGGTCGTCGTTTATAGGAATTACTGCCACTAGCCGGTTTAGTTGTAAGCCGAATTGAAGAGTGGCTTCTGCTGATGACTAAAATCTATTCTTTTTAATTAAAGTGCATACAAGCGTGTGTGCACAAACAATAAGGCGTTTAATTGCCAAATTTATGAATGCAACATTGCGAATTTGTTGGAGGTATTCCACTGATTTCCTCAGATGAAGTTCAGTTTACCATTCATTGGTAGGACCGCTCAGATAAACTAACCTTGATGATGTCTGACTGATGCTATCAGGATGACCTCAGATAGGCTGCATTACCTACTGGAGGTGTGCAGTTTGAAAGACACCAGCATTTACCAGGCAGGGAAGAGGGCTCGAATAGAAATAAGCTATTGATTTGCATAATGGGAAATGTAGGAGTCAGTGTTTTTGGGGCGGGACTCAAACCCAGGATATCTGTGGGACGCTGCTCTGATTTTCACTTTGTGTCCTGCAACTGGTGGAAACACAATAGCAGGCTGTATCACTGGAGTAACCAGTTGCCACGAAATTGGCACATATTGTTTTATTCACATCTTTCCAACACTGTCAGGTATTACATTTCCAAAGGTAACTGTTCAGACATTTTCACAAAGATGCTGGACAAGAGCCTGTGATCTTAAACAGCAGATGAATCACTGTTGCAGGAACACAGTTTGATATTTACAGTGCTAACAGCGTGTAGGACAGCGTGGCCAGAGGCCTGCAGCAGTGGTGTAGCCAGAAATACTCTGATGGTTGGTCCTTCTTCATATTTTGGTCACACAAGTGTAACAAACACAGTTGTCTCCTAAATAAGACTGCACAATTACACAAAATATTGTCGAAATCGCAATATGGCAATAAGTGCAATATCCAAATCGTGTTTGTACCACGTTGTGCCGTCCTGTTCCTAAAGTTAAATTAGCCTGGTGTTAGATGGCAAGACTTGGCCAAAGCTTCAAGGATCATAACGACCTTGATGTGCGATGTAAGCATTCTTCTTGTCCTTCCTTTTTCCATGCTGGTTAGAGGGACGTCCTCTGCTGTGTGTCGGGCTTCTCACTTTGTGCACGGAGGCCCCCTTGAGGACCTCATCTCTGTGGAGTTTTCTCTTCTGATAGGATAAAGTTGGAACGGGATAGCAGACAATGTTTTCTCTGTTTCCTGCAGAAAGGAGGGACTGGGAGACCCACGTTACTGACTGAACGCTCTGTATCAGTGATGGCTGTCAGTATGTAGAGCTATATAAACACAAATTTAAACAAAAAAAATGAGCTTATAGCACCTTTAACCATATACGACTACAGTTACTTTACACATGGTGCCTGTGGGGGAGATTTGCTGGGCTGGAGCTACCATCGGGGAGGTCATGTCTCGGGTATTGTTTTGACCTTGGACTCATGACCTTAGTATTTCTAAAATCTTGGCTACGGCCCTGGAACTACTCTTATTAGTTTGACTGGAAGTAGTGGTGTTGTTGGTGTGGGGGGGTCCTGGCTTCCTCTGTCCCTTTTTAACATTACAGTGTTGTAAATGATGGGTCTTGAGTAGAGCCCTCATGCTCTTGGCCATAGTGACAGTAATGATAGCCTACCCCTTTTAAAGACCACAGATGTCTGAGATGAATCGGTGCTTGCTTCTCCCTGCATGGATGTGTTCATGATGCTTTCACCAGACCGTGGTCTTGCTCCCCTTGCAGGGCTCTGAGGTTTTCTTTGTCCGATGCATTTCTCTGACCCGTGCAATGACAATTTAGCTGTGATGTGTGTAAAAATGTGCATCCCTCCTCCTGCAGTGCCTCTGATGGCTGGTCGACTCCTCAAAGTCTCCTCTCTGGCCACAGCAGTGTTTGCCTCCTCCGGGTTTTACCTCTACACCAGACAGCTGGACCTCAACGACCTCAGCGTGATCCGCTTTGGACGAGCCGCAGCAGCCGTGAGTTACTGCACTCCTCTGCCCCGAGAGTCTGGATTTGGGGACTGTGGATTTAATGCACCCCCACAGTTTGTTTATTGTCTTCATGCTTTTTACATTTAGTTCGTTTTTGCGCTCAGGGGCGTGTATCATGAAGCAAGATTAATGCTATCTATGGCCCTTTGCTCAGGTTTACAGGTATCATGAAATAGGCTCAGATCACCATAGTAACCTATGCTACACAGCTAACCTGCTCCAGAGCAGGAACACTTCAGAGATCAGCTGATCAGAGCAAAACCGACCAATGTACACCCATTACAATTACATATTAATTGATTTGTCTGTTTTTTAGTGTTTTCACTAGTTTATAATATAAAGTTTCACCATGGGAAATAGGTTACCCATTTATTTTGACTACTAAACTTGCTCCATGGTAAGCCCCCTGGTGCTGTAGATCATTTGAATATATAAGGCTTATTTTTGAATGATCCACAGCACCGGGGGGTTGTTATCCTGTCACTCAGCCCTTTCAGAACCAAGTCATCCCATTCATCCCAGTTGTTACACTTTATAGTAAGGCTCTGAACTTAAAGATCCCCTACAGACATGTATTAAGACACATATACAAAAAGTCTGCTTAGCAATAATGTGTGTCTGTGTGTTTTCCAACATAAAAATTCCACATTAAAATCCTTAAAAAGTCATGTACTCCTTTTACTTAATTAAAACTTCCAGACTCTCTGAACATGCAAATGTTGTTGATTTCTAAAGTTTTGCTGCTGGACACAAGATGTCTCCTCCTTCACTGTAAAGTCCATTCTCAGTGGATTTACACTGGTGGCTTCAAGTTTCTACATCACACTGTACAGGTTGCATACTGGACCAGGACTGACTTCCAAACTATTTGTGATGTCATGCTCATAGGCCCCGCCCCTTAAAATCTGATTTTCAATGAGCACAGAGAAACTTTCCACTTTCAGAAGATCAATATGAAAACATCCTTCTAGTGTCAAACTCTGCACATACATGCCTGCACATACAGGGAACTTATTATTAGTTTATTTGCTTTTGCTCATTTTGTAATTGTTATCAAAGGGTAGTTTTCAAAGTAAAAGTCTACCTCCTAACACAGTTCTTTACACGTCACTGCTCTGTTTGTCTGCAGACGGCGGTCATCAGCTACGACTACCTGACTGCTTTCAAACATGTGGAATACGGCACAGAGGAGTACTGGGCGCTCAAGTCCAAGGTAGGTGAATGCTTCTGGTGTTTTCCATATGGGTGGGGATACTACAGTAAGGTGAAAGGAGTTGTTCACCTTGATGATGAGTTGGAGAACTGCAGTGTTACAGCCCACCGTGGACGTTGCTTCTGTTAAAGCAACATCTGTTAAAAGATAAAAGCAGCATATAGTCAAATCTTAGTTAGTGCAATGGACAGCATGACCGAGGCTTGCTCAGCTGTCACTGGAGCACAGAGCAAGAAGGGGTGGGAAGGGTCAACTGTTTGGCATACATTAGCAGTAAATGAACAGCTCAGATTTGGTGGGAGCGTGCCCGGCAAACAGTAAAAAAAGGCTGCTATCTGAAAGCGGGAAACTAAACTACAAATCAGTGAGATTCAGGATATAAAAGTACTGAGACCTGAACACAGACAGACTTTTTTGGCACTTGTTTCTAGTCGAATCATGTCGAACCAATCAGTTTAGCGCAAAACTTGGCTTGATTTTAGGGAGTAGACGGTCACTGTTTGCATGTGATTAGGGCTTGGCACACCACAGTGCAGCTAAAGCCTCCTATCTTGTGTTCTCTGAAGTGTTTGGTACCCCAAACTGCTTTTGTGTGGTCATGCTGGGTTTTTAAATCCAATCTCCGACCAATAGTCTGTTTTTTGTCACTTGCTCTCTACACACGTACGCCTGCGATGACTATTTTTGATGATACAGGAATCAAACTGCAAACCCAACTGCAGAGTAGCTGATGGTTCTCTTTGGGTTCCTCACCACAGACGACTCCTTTTAAAACTTTCATTTGATCCTGGGGACTGTTATCCAGACACAGTTGTTATTACGCAATACATGCAGACAGTCAGCGGCCTTGATGCATTGACTGTATTTAGTGACATCGAAGGGACATACATGTTGTTTGGACATCAGAGTGCATTATTATTCATCAGTCAAATCCACCGAACAGGATCATATCTGTAGGGCCTGCCAGAAGGATAAATGTACTAACAGTAAATGACAGCTGATATGCATTGAGTGATTTGTGCTCGCGTTGGTTAAAAGGCCACAGCTCAGTCAGGTTCGCTCAGGAGACTGCTGCTGGAAAGGTCAGAGACCACCTGCTCTGACAAAAAGTGCACAGAGAGCTCGGCTGCAGCAAGAGAGCTGCAGTGAACCTTGAAGAGCATGGTTCAGCATGGCTGGCCTTGTGTACGTGATGCACACACACAGACACTCGGTACAGCCCCTTGGGCCGTGCTGGTCAAGCCTGGCTACACGTGCTGATTAGAATTAATGCATGGCGCTGATTTAATACAGAGAGGAGGCTCGCCTCCTAATTATTATGAAGTCATAGAGGTGAGGCGACGGCTCAGTGGCTGCACATTTGTTTAGTGTCTTTATGCTGCAGATTGTTCCTGTAGTCATTTTCTGTCTAAACAGAGGACAGAAAGGAGAAAAAATGTCACAGGGAGGATGATGATTGATGCTGTGATGATGAGTTATGTGTTACACTAACTATTTACATGTGTGATAAGTAATAATCACCTGTTTCATATATGTTTAGGTTACTTTAGAATATATTTTGGGGGAAAAAAAATGTATTAGCCTTTCAGATCGTGGAGAAGATTTGCCGTATTTGCCATCTTTGTTGGCACCAAAATGTCATATATTGCAGTAGGCATGTAACGATACCAGAGATGTAGTAGTCGATACCAAGAAAGTGAAATTTCACTATTCTGGATTTTCTAATAGATGCTTTCTTATTAACCTAATTCACTACTTTTTATTCACAGCTTTTTTAATCTTCTCACCTTGATTTTCTCTTCAGTACTCTTTTCCACCGGCTTGCTCCGCCCTGCCTCTGTCTGTTTCTCTCTCCCTGTGTATGTGTCTCTGTTGACTTTCTTTAGCAGTATAAAGTCGCCCAAAAAACACAACTCACGCTTGGGATCTTTTCACCCTCACTTCCGTTTTAATATCAGCAGGTGAGCCACGTCACATGAGTACATCATAGTATTGGTTCTTGTGACATCCCTATATTGCAGACCGTCTTAATCTGCACTTTCTAGATATCCAGACCACTTCAATATGATTGACATCATGTCACTTTTTTTGTCAACAATTTCCTCAGCTTTGGGATTCACTTTCATCATTACTTTCATTCCCCTCAGTTCCACTCATTTTGTTTCCTCTTTTCCAAACACTGCTTTGTGGTAGGAAATGGGCACACATGCTGGGCATGTCAGATACCAGAAATGTATTAGTTAATACCTTTACCAGTGAAATTCCATGATTCTCGATACCGATTCAATACCATGGTAAAGTTTTGAATGCAGCTCTCTACCGCTGTTTGTCTCGCCTCGGAGCAGGAGCTCAGCCCAGAGTCATTGTTATCGACCTATCATGATCCCCTATCAAAACTGTTTTATTAGAACCTTAATGAAGGTTTATTGCTGGACTGTTGGATTAGATTACATTGATCTAAGTAGACCTTGAACTGGATGGAGTGTATATACACTACTCACAAAAAGTTAGGGATATTCCACTTTCGGGTGAAATTTATGGAAAATGTAAAAAGTTGATGCTACAGTGATATTATATCATGAAAGTAGGGCATTTAAGTAGAGGGTCAAATTAAGATCACCTGGAAAGGTTATAGTGCATTTTATGTACATTCTGAAATTTCATCCGAAAGCCGAATATCCCTAACTTTTTGTGAGTAGTGTATCAGTGCCAGCAACAGGCTTTAAAATGACATAATAGTCAAAGCCTTTGTCTCAGATGAAGTCATCATCTCGGCGCCCTCTAACCTCTAGCTGTGTGTTTGGTTCTTGTCACAAGGGTCACGTTTGACTGCACAGTTAATAAGCTCTTGTTTCTGCATCTCATCTTCCCCGTCGCCCTGTTTGCGTTCAGCTCGTGTTCATCTCGCAGCAGAGCAGTCAGGCTGCTTTCAGCCTCTCGTGAAGAGCTTCACTCAAAAGCCACTTAAGCAGCCAGTCTTCCAGGCTCGTCATCAAAGGCTGCCCTGAGTGAACCGAGGGGCCATTCACAGCCAATTAGACTGTATCACAGAACAAGCACGGGAGCACTCTAAAGTCTGCCAAATGAGTGGAGGAACATGCCCTGCAATGAGAGAACAGATGGACTGCTTTTTGCGCTCTGAAGCTAGCTAAGTTCTGCTTTGATTTCTCTGTGGCTCCACACTACATTAAACTCCTATGTAACATGTGCAGTTAATGCTTGATAACCAGTAAGAACGAGTTCTTGTGTGCTATACAGTTTTAAAAGCCAAGCTCCTCAGCTGTGGTTGTCATTCTGATCTACCTGGAAGTTAACCAGTCCCTGTAGGGTTTATTCAACCTGGATAACTGGACTAAAATGATGAAATAAAACTTAATATCTGTACAGTATTGAACTATATAAAAACTCAAAAACTGTTGATAGATTTTTTTTTGTATAATTCAGTAAAAATCAAAAGCCACTTGTTCCAGTGTGAATAAAATAGCTAGTTGTTTGATGACATATGGTTCAACATTTTACGTGGGTGCCTGCTATAATTGTACCTCGCTGGAAACTACTGTGATGTGTCAAATTTGTGGAAAAGTTGTAGTGATTGGTAGGGCTGGGTATGATTGAAAAATCTTCGGTACTGATACCTTGACTTTGATACTGGTTCCTGAACAATTTTTGTACATTTTATTTTAACATTACGGTATAATTTCTCACTTCAAAGGAGGAAGCTGTTCAAAGACCTGGGCGCAGCTGGAGCAACAGTTTTTACTCTTACTCACTTTATTCAACCTGGATAACTGGACTAAAATGATTAAATAAAACTGAATATCTGTACAGTATTGGACTATATAAAAACTCAGTAACAAAGAAACATGCAAAACAAACAATATGGCAACTAAATGTATAGTCTAATCTATAGAAGAAGATGGGAATGTCTTTGTGCTAAAGACCAGCTACCCCGTGTCTGAATGAGTTTTACTCTGTTGGTATTGAAATTTGCTACCGAATGACAAAACATTTTTCCATTCTCTGTATTATCGATATTATCGTTCAAAGTTCGGTACCCAGCCCCAGTGACTGGACGAAATTGAAAGGTTGCACAGAATTCTCAGATTGGTTGAATTTGTGTAAACTGTTGCAATTGCAACATTGCACCTTCCCGGAGGGACTTGTTAACCATGGTAGCCTGCATCTGGGGAAATGTCTGCCCACATTTTAGGTGGATATAAATGATGATGATAAATGATGGAGTGTATTGGGTTATGCTAGATGGCCACCGGTTTGTATGTAATTGATCAACTCTGCCATTAACCATACAACTTTATAAAGTAACTGTTGATCTACAAATCAGTGCTGGGCTGTCCCTTCTACCATTATCCAGTTTAATGTCAGTGTTCACTGTTTATTAGGGCTGTAAAAAAGCTTGGTACAAGACATTGGTTTTTTTACCCCTTCCTCATTCCGGTAACCAATTTACCATCCTAAAGCCTGTTTTCAGAGTACAAGTTTTACAAAAGTTTTGCGGCACCGGTGTTGTCTATCACCACAGCATGCTCATACCCGGTGAACCATTAAATTTACAAATGGCATACCTGAATACGGTAAGAGCAAGAAAAAATAAACTGGCACCCTCTCACTGCTATAGTGTTTATCGCTATGGATATGTGACCATACTCAAAATCCTCAAAATGCTTGAGACCCATTACACTTCAGTGTCTGCCATGCTGAACTGCAGTGTTTCTACAGTAGCTCAAATGAGACAAACCAAACACTAGCTCTAGATAGGGCCTTATGTGTTTTTTTAGTAAATCAGCCACCGTAGATTCTGCTACTCTTTTCACACAGGTCATCAAAGACATCAGCGGTGTTCAGTTAGTACCAACCTTACCACTAGATGCCACTAAATCCCACACACTCGACCTTTTTAAGTGTTGAAAAATAAATTACAAAAAAAATTTCAGCATTTTTTTTTTTTTTTCACACTGTACCGAAAATGTAACTAACCATGT